CCATCTTTCTGCGTTATACCTCTGAGGATGCCAGTCACAGCTGCTGACGAAACGTCAGGCACTACAATGCCAAGACCACGGCCGTGCAGCCCGGAAAATCTACAGCAACTAATTCTTGTGCTGCGGTGGCAACGTCTGCTGAAGCAACGTTTGACAAAACCTGCACAGCCAATCAGATCTCCAGTGACCAATCAGAAGCCTTGCTGGGCAAAAAGTCCCACTTGGCCCTGCCTGCTATCTCAAAACACTTGGCGGGAACCAGGCTGGCAGGTGCCGTGGCGCCCCTGGGCACCACGTTGGGGATCCCTGGGCTACATGGTTCTTCTCCAGGCCTCCCCCTCCCAGTTTCACTGGCAAGAGGATCTGGAAGGGGAGGCAGAGCGGCTAGCTCAGGCAGCTAGCTCAGAGTGGCTAGCTAAGAGGCCCCCGGGACTGATAACGTGGCTAAGGCAGAATTAGCCATCCTGAGAATTTCAGCTTTCATTTTTACAAGGTCGCTAAACCCTCGAGGTCAAATTCAAAACAAACGAGGTGCCTGGACCAAACTACAGAGTGCTAGGCAAGGAACGGGCTGTCATTTAGCTTGAGATGCCCATTCCGTGCCGCTTGCTCCCTGAGTATTACCAGAAAGCCAGTTTAGTGTAGTGGTTAGGAGCACAGATTCTAATCTGGGTGAACCGGGTTTGATTCCCCACTCCTCCACATGCAGCTGCTGGGGTGACCTTGGGTCAATTACAAGTTCTCTCAGAGCTGTTCTCTCACAAGCAGTTCTTGAAAGATCTCTCTCAGCCCCACCTACCTCACAGGGTGAATGTTGTGGGGAGGGGAAGGGAAAGGAGATTGTAAACTGCTCTGAGACTCCTTCAGGTAGTGAAGAGCGGGGTATAAATCCAATCTCTTCTTCTTCTCTACGGTTGCTGACAGAACTCCAATCAGTAATCTGAGTCCCCAAAGCGGAGCCTCGAACTCAACACCCTTCTGGCTCTGGGCCACGCTCCAGCTCCCCGACTCAAATTTGTCCCTCAAGTCCACTGGGGACCACTATAACTGGTTTTAAAAGAAAGCCTGAGGAAGGCCAAGTTGCTTCGGAAACAATGAACTAGGGATGTGCATTCAGTTCATCTGAACCGAATGCACCCCCCAAAATAGCCCATTCGGGCCCCTTTCAGGCTGCTGCGGGCCGATTCAGAGTCTCTGATCTGAATCGGCTTACCGCCGAATTGCCACCAAATCTTGGCAGCAATTCGGCTCCATTATATCCTATGGGCCATTGAAGTCAATGGCGAAAACATGGAGTATGTTCTGGGGGCTGTAGGGGAGGAGGTTTGAGGGAGAGGCTCGAAACCGCAGGGGAGCTGCTGGAGCCTCTCCCCAAGATACCAACCAAGTTTCAGGAGCATTGGACCAGGGGATCCAATTCTACAGGCCCCCAAACAGGTTGCCCCCATCCCCTCCTCTATGGTGGGAAACTGTGTCGTTCAATTCCATATTGGAACATCCCAATTTTGGTCCTATTTTATTAATTGTTAATTGCCTTACAGGTGTTACAGAGACTCTGTTGCTTGTTGTATTTTCCACTATTTGACCTCTGAAGAAGGCTCTTATGAGCCGAAACGCATCAGGTCTTTTTTTGTGTGTATTCGTAACTTGGAACATTTCATGAGGCTTTATTTGAGCCCCTACTAGGTTTTTAAATGTCTTTGTAATAAACACTCTTTTGTACACTTACTTATGTTTTTAACTTTTGGCCCTCAATAAGTTTTCTAAACTTCCTTTGACATTGCTTTCCTCTGCATAGCGACCCTGGACTTCCTTGGTGGTCTCCCATCCAAGGCCCTGCTTAGTTTCTGAGATCGGACTGCCCCGGGCCAACCAAGTCAGGCCATATGGATGCTGGGAGACCCCTGTATAACCTCTTTTACCAAGGAAGCAAGATATATCTGCCACCTTATTCTGTAAAGTTATGAAGCTGCCTTGTATATAAGAACGTGAGAGAAGCCCTGCTGGGTCAGGCCAATGGCCCATCCAGCCCAACACTCAGTGTCACACAGTGGCCAAAACCCAGGGGCCATCAGGAGGTCCACCAGCAGGGCTAGAACCCCAGAAGACCTCCCACTCTTACCCCCCAAGCACCAAGAATTCAGAGCACCACAGCCCCAGACATAAGAACATAAGAGAAGCCATGTTGGATCAGGCCAATGGCCCATCCAGTCCAACACTCTGTCACACAGTGGCCAAAACCCAGGGACCATCAGGAGGTCCACCAGTGGGGCTAGAACCCCAGACGACCTCCCACTCTTACCCTCCAAGCACCAAGAATACAGAGCATCACAACCCTAGAGAAGCCATGTTGGATCAGGCCAATGGCCCATCCAGTCCAACATTCTGTGTCACACAGTGGCCAAAACCCAGGTGCCATCAGGAGGTCCACCAGCGAGGCTAGAACTCCAGAAGCCCTCCCACTGTGGCCCCCTGAGGAGTAGGAGGAGGAAGAGGAAGAAGAGGAGATTGGATTTATACCCCACCCTTCACTACCCGAAGGAGTCTCAGAGCGGCTTACAATCTCCTTTCCCTTCCCCTCCCCTCCCCACAAGAGACACCCTGTGAGGTAGGTGAGGCTGAGAGAGCTCTCTCTCCTACTCTGCCACAGATTTTGTTAATCTTCAAGGTGCTCCTGGACTCCTGCTCTTTTCTCCCCATCTCAGTACAGCTTTGCTCTGAACTCATAAAAGAGACTTCCATTATTATTATTTTTTCGCTAGCTCACAATCCCGTTCATGCCTATCATGGTAGCATGATAACAGGCTGGGGGACTGGAGGCCAACACCACCAAGCCCTCTTCCAGTTTTAAATGCTTTCCTGCCTAGTCACCTAGAAAAGAGTCTAACTCATCGCAGATGACTAGGCAAGTTGGCGTTCACAGGCATGAACTACTGACCCACACCCAAACTTACCAACCTGAGACCCAGTTTGGTGTATTGGTTAGGAGCACAGACTCTAATCTGGGAGAACCAGACTCGAGTTCCCACTCCTCCACATGCAGCTGCTGGTGTGACCTTGGGTCAGTCACAAGTTCTCTCAGAGCTCTTCTCTCAAGAGCATTCCTCGAGAGAGAGCTCTCTCAGCCCCACCTACCTCACAGAGTGTCTGTTGTGGGGAGGGGGAGGGGAAGGAGACTGTAGGTTGCTCTGAGACTCCGAGTGAAGGGCGGGGTATAAATCCAATCATAATCTTCTCCTTAAGTTTCCCAAAGGCACAATGCTCTCCCAATCCATACAGCCCTTCTTGTTATATTCTTACGTGGCCATTATGGACTGGAGGACCTGAACACCATCATAAGAACATAAGAAAAGCCAACGTTGGATCAGGCCAATGGCCCATCCAGTCCAACACTCTGTGTCACACAGTGGCCACATGCTCTACCCCATGCATAACCTTGTAAACCTCGATCACGTCACCCCCTCAGCTGTCGTTTCTCCAAGCTAAAGAGACCCAAGCGTTTTAGCCTTTCTTCATAAGGAAAGGGTTCCAACCCTTTTGTGCACTTTTCCCAGTGCTATAATCAATGTTCCCTCTAAGCTGTGGAGTCTTGTGAGCAAAAATTCTACTTCGTGAGCTACTGGCATTAAAGTTGTGAGTGAGCGAGTTGGCTCCAGCATACATTACTTTGCTCTGGAGCCATCCTTCCTGAGCTAAGAAAAAAATGTGTGAGCCGGAGGCTAAAAAACTGTGAGCTAGCTCACACTAACTCAGCTTGGAGGAAACACTGGCTATAATATCCTTTTGCTCCTCGCAAAGCTATGAGGGACTGCCTCTCTCTGATTAGTTCCTATAAGAACGTAAGAGATGCCAATGTTGGAGCAGGCCAAAGGCCCATCCAGTCCAACACTCTGTATCACATAGTGGCCAGAAATACCAGTGCCATCAGGAGGTCCACCAGTGGGGCCAGGACATTAGAAGCCCTCCCACTGTTACCCCCACCCCCAAGCACCAAAAAGACAGAGCATCACTTGCCCCAGAGACCCTATCTATACCTTGTGGCTAATAGCCACCGATGGACCTCTGCTCCATATGCTTATCTAATTCCCTTTTGAAGCCGTCCATGCTTGTAGCCGCCGCCACTTCCTGTGGCAGTGAATTCCAAGTGTTAATCACTCTTTGGGTGAAGAAGGACTTCTTTTTATCCGTTCTAATCCGACCGCTCAGCAATTTCATGGAGTGCCCACGAGTTCTTGTATTGTGAGAAAGGGAGAAAAGTACCTCTTTCTCTACCTGCTCTATCTTTGTTCTTCCAAAGTTTGACTAATAAGATCATCGTGGACAACAGAAGCACACAGCTGCCAAACACAAGGTTCCCTCCCTCTGGATTTAAAGTGGACATACACAAGTCAGAAGCCCAGAGCGGCGACTCACACAGAGACACAACAGGGAACCTCATCAGAAAGTGGGCGGCTTCTGCTGCCTCCTAGCGTCGGGAGCACCTGAATAATCCTATCACACCCAACGCACCAGAGATGCGGGAAAGTTATCCACCACCACCCCCAGCAAATGGGGAAAGGGCAAGTCCAGTGTAGTGAATCATGCAGAGACACAGCAGGGAGCGAATGCCTGCATTGAGCCCACGGAAGGCTTCATTTCATGAAATGCATTTCATGTAGCACATGAACGGTCCAGTCACGGCAGACGCCTGTTTTCCCCAGAGCTCAGCTCGAGAATTATTGGCACAGGGGGTGTTCGAGAGCTTACAGGCGGCCCCGAAACAAATACGAGAGCAGCTCTCTTTCAGAATCCAAAATTTCTAGGGAAAACTAAAATGCAGTCCTCGCCCATTATGCAAACACTGTCCCCACCCCTTTGTGTTTTTTTTTTAAAAACCCACAAACTGGAAGAAATCCTTTACACCCCACCCACTTCGACCCAAAGGCCAACAGACATTGGGTGACCTGCACACAAGCATAAGCCTTTGGGGGGGGGGGGTGTTTAAATTTTTTAAAAAGTACCTTCAGAGAGCAGCCCCGCCACACAGTTTCAGACATTACAGCTCCCTCGGTGTTCTGCACCCGTCTTTGAAGGACATTTCTGAAGAACAAAAGGGGGGTGGAGAGAAGAGAGAGAACAGCAGGAAATTAGCAAACGAACATTTCATCTCTATTACCAGGTCATATCATAAAACCACCAGACGACGACCTCAAGCAAGAAGCACCACCCAGAACCATCGGGGTCCTTCTGTCTGGAGGACACCGGGGACGACAACGTAAATAGACCTCGTGAATTTCTCAACGCTTCAGTGGAAGCGGCGACACGGACTTGGAGTTCCTGAACGTTGCCAGCCCGCCCGAATTTGGAGAGCATGCACGGTGTTCAGACCAATGCTCCCTCTAAGCTGTGTAGTCTAGTGAGCAAAAATTCTACTTTGTGAGCCACTGGCATTAAAGTTGTGAGCCAGTGATTTGGCTGCTGCATAGTTTGCTCTGGAGCCATCCTTCCTGAGCTAAGGCAAAAAGGTGTGAGCCGGAGGCTAAAACACTGTGAGCTAGCTCACAATGACTCAGCTTAGAGGGACCACTGGTTCACACCAGGATCTGGGATGCCCAGGTTCGAATCCCTGCTCTGCCACGGAAGGTCACTGGGTGGCCTTGGGCCAGTCACTCCCTCGGCCTAACCTACCTTGCAAGGCTGTTGTGAGGATAAAATGGAGGAGAGGAGAATGAGGCGGATCACTTAGGGTTCCCAGTGGGGAGAAATGTGGGGTATAAATGAAGTAAAGGAAGTGAGGGGCACAGCAAACACACGATTCTGCCACCACGCTGAAAACCACATTCCCATCGGCTTAGCCTATGTTAACATGGGGGCAGGGCACAGCCCCTGTATGGCATGCAGAGGGTGCAGAGTTCTACCCCTGGCATCTCTGACATGTACTTTAAAATGAAGGATCTCTGTTAGCGGGTGCGGGGTAACACCGTTCCCCATCCCCGGCCTCATAAGAGCATAAGAGAAGCCAATGTTGGATCAGGCCAATGGCCCATCCTGTCCAGCACTCTTGTCACACAGTGGCCAAAAATACCAGGTGCCATCAGGAGGTCCAGCAGTGGGGCCAGGACACTAGAAGCCCTCCCACTGTTGCCCCTCCCAAGCACCAAGAAGACAGAGCATCACTTGCCCCAGACTGAGAGCTCCTATCTATACCTTGTGGCTCATAGCCACTGATGGACCTCTGCTCCATATGTTGATCCAATTCATCAGGAGGTCCACTGTTGCCCCCCCCCCAAGCACCAAGAATACAGAGCATCCCTTGCCCCAGACCGAGAGCTCCTATCTATACCTTGTGGCTAATAGCCACTGATAGATTTCTGCTCCATATGTTGATCCAATTCATAAGAATAGAAGAGAAGCCAATGTTGGATGAGGCCAATGACCCATCCAGTCCAACACTCTGTCACACAGTGGCCAAATATACCAGGTGCCATCAGGAGATCCAGCAGTGGGGCCAGGACACTAGAAGCCCTCCCACTGTTGACCCCCCCAAGCACCAAGAATACAGAGCATCACTTGCCCCAGAGTCCCTATCTATACTTTGTGGCTAATAGCCACTGATGGACTTCTGCTCCATATGTTGATCCAATTCATAAGAACATAAAAGCATAAGAGAAGCCAATGTTGGAACAGGCCAATGGCCCATCTAGTCCAACACTCTGTCATACAGTGGCCAAAAATATCAGGTGCCATCAGGAGGTCCAGCAGTGGGGCCAGGACACTCGAAGCCCTCCCACTGTTGCCCCCCCCAAGCACCAAAAAGACAGAGCATCACTTGCCCCAGACTGAGAGCTCCTATCTATACCTCGTGGCTAACAGCCACCGATGGACCTCTGCTCCATATGTTGATCCAGTTCATAAGAACATAAGAGCATAAGAGAAGCCAATGTTGGATCAGGCCAATGACCCATCCAGTCCAACACTCTGTCACAAAGTGGCCAAATATACCAGGTGCCATCAGAAGGTCCAGCAGTGGGGCCAGGACACTAGAAGCCCTCCCACTGTTGCCCCTCCCAAGCACCAAGAAGACAGAGCATCACTTGCCCCAGACTGAGAGCTCCTATCTATACCTTGTGGCTCATAGCCACTGATGGACCTCTGCTCCATATGTTGATCCAATTCATAAGAACATAAGAGCATAAGAGAAGCCAATGTTGGAACAGGCCAATGGCCCATCCTGTCCAGCACTCTGTCACACAGTGGTCAAAAATACCAGGTGCCATCAGGAGGTCCACCAGTGGGGCCAGGACACTAGAAGCCCTCCCACTGTTGCCCCCCCCAAGCACCAAAAAGACAGAGCATCACTTGCCCCAGACTGAGAGCTCCTATCTATACCTCGTGGCTAACAGCCACCGATGGACCTCTGCTCCATATGTTGATCCAGTTCATAAGAACATAAGAGCATAAGAGAAGCCAATGTTGGATCAGGCCAATGGCCCATCCAGTCCAACACTCTGTGTCACACAGTGGCCAAAAATACCAGGTGCCATCAGGAGGTCCAGCAGTGGGGCCAGGACACTAGAAGCCCTCCCATTGTTGCCCCCCCAAGCACCAAGAATACAGAGCATCACTTGCCCCAGACTAAGAGTCCCTATCTATACCTTGTGTGGCTAATAGCCCCTGATGGACCTCTGCTCCATATGCTTATCGAATTCCCTCTTGAAGCCGTCCATGCTTGTAGCCATCACCACCTCCTGTGGCAGTGAATTCCATGTGTTAATCACTCTTTGGGTGAAGAAGGACTTCCTTTTATCCGTTCTAACCCGACTGCTCAGCAATTTCATGGAGTGCCCACGAGGCCTTGTCTTGTGAGAAAGGGAGAAAAAGGACTTCTTTCTCTCCCTGCTCTATCTCGGAACAGGCCGACGGATCCTGCGCTAAACTGAGCAATCGACTGACTCGGCAGAAGTGAACTTTGTAGGAATAGATCGGGGAGTCCAGCCGCATCTTAAACAGGGGAACCAAATTTATTCCGGCGTAAGCTTTTGCGAGACGGAGCTCCCTTCGTCAGCCTAATGGATGCACACGTTGTGTGTCTGACTCACGGAAGCTTACGCCGGAATAAATTTTGTGAGCTTTGAAAGCGCCTCTGGACACCTGTTTCCTTTTAGCTAACGCAGACGAACGCGGCTGTTGTGTGTGTGTGTGTGACGCGCCAGCAAGCCACTTCAACCCACCGCACGCTGGCTTTCCCTCTTTTCCTGCTGCCTTCAACTTTTCTTAGCGTGGTTGTCCTTTCCGGAGACTCTTGCCTCCTCAGAATGTGACCAAAGTACGATGGCCTCCGTTTGGTCATTTTGGCTTCTCAGGAGAGTTCGGGTTTGTTTTGATCTAGAACCCACTTAATGCGGCTACTCCTCTGGAACTGTCACAGGGCTGTGTTTTAGATTCAGACTGGAGTCATCGAGGTGGGTTGAGACACCTAAATCAGTGCACAACCACATTTTTGCAGACTACTACCTGGAAAGGAAGGAATAAACAGCTTATAAGTCTATCAGTGGCTACTAGCCATGGTGACTGACGGGGAACCTCCACATTCAGAGGCACTAAGCCTCTGAATCCCAGAGCCAGGAGGCCACATCGGGGGAAGGCCTCGGCCTCTCTGCCCTGTTGCTGGCCCTCCAGAGGAACTGGTTGGCCACTGTGTGAGACAGGATGCTGAACTAGATGGACCCTCACTGGTCTGACCCAGCAGGGCTCTTCTGATGTCCCTAAGAAGGCCTCGGCATCTCTGCCCTGTTGTTGGCCCTCCAGAGGAACTGGTTGGCCACTGTGTGAGACAGGATGCTGGACTAGATGGACCACTGGTCTGATCCAGCAGGGCTGATGTTCTTATGAGGGCCTCAGCCTCTCTGCCCTGTTGTTGGCCCTCCAGAGGAACTGGTTGGCCACTATGTGAGACAGAATGCTGGACTAGATGGACCCCTGGTCAGATCCACCAGGGCTCTTCTTATGCTCTATGCCCTGTTGTTGGCCCTCCAGAGGGACTGGTTGGCCACTGTGCGGGACAGGATGCTGGCCTAGATGGACCTCTGGTCTGATCCACCAGGGCTCTTCTGATGTTCTCAGCGGAAGGCCTCAGCCTCTCTGCCCTGTAGTTGGCCCTTGAGAGGAACTGGCTGGTGGCCACTGTGTGAGACAAGAGGCTGGACTAGATGGACCACTGGTCTGATCCAGATGGGCTCTTCTGATGTTCTCAGTGGAAGGCCTCAGCTTCTCTGCCCTGTTGTTGGCTCTCCAGATTAACTGGGTGGCCACTGTGTGAGACAGGATGCTGGACTAGATGTTCTTATTAGGGCAAGGCCTCGGCCTCTATGCCCTGTTGTTGGCCCTCGAGAGGAACTGGTTGTCCGCTGTGGTCAGATCCACCAGGGCTCTTATGTTCTCATGAAGGCCTCAGTCTGATCCAGCAGGGCCCCTCTTATGTTCTTAATGCAGCAAATGTTTTGGACACGGCATGGCAAGGAATGTGCCCCTGACAGAGAAGCTGTGTGCCTGACACTCTGGAGCCTGCTGCATAGAGGCAGGCTGGCAGTACGGACACGACATCCAACTCATACAGTTGCTAAATTTAGACCTCCAGCATATTAGTAGGCCAAGACGTAGAAGGAAGAGGAGACTGTAAAAACTGCTTCTGCCACCCAGACAGCAAAGACTGAGGAAACGGGGCCACCTGTGTGCTACGCACACGCATGATGTCGTATCTGAATGGCCCCACTCTGTGCTCGTCCTTTGTGTTCTTATGTGTCATGCGCGCTGCCTGATGGAAGGCATAACGTCTGATGTCATAGTCCCTGTCATGATCTGGGCTGTGCCGCCAGAGGCCTATTAGGCCCAGGGAGCCTGGCTAGCAGTAGGTGAGGCTGGGCCTACAACTCCCAGAAGCCCCTGAGAGGTTTTGGAGCCAAAATTGGAATTGGCTTGGAATAAAAGATCTGGAGCAGCAGGAAAAGCTGTTCTTTCTTCCAGAGGGCAGAGCCAGAAGGAAGGCTGCTGCAGGAAGAGACCCTCATCCTGAGGGAAGGGTGATTAGTCTAGTGTCACTT